TCTTCCACCCCCTCAACCGCCATTAGACCCCCTGGCTCCACTTCGGCTCCCAGGGGGTTGACTTATGACGCCGGGCTGTGGGGTGGCCTGAGTGGGTTCACTGAGTTATCCCGTACAAGGACGAGTGTACCTTACCTGAGATACCGAGGGTTAGATCCACCCTCCAAGATAACGTCACCGAAAGCTTTCGTTATCTTAAACGCGCGGCCCATATTCTAGCTTTCTGTACGTTCCCCCGAAAAAGAAAATGTCAGACCCCCCCTTCGAGCCCTAACAACTTCAGCCGACCTTACTGACGCACAACAGGTTGCGTTCCACGTCCCGGCCAGTTTTCAGTAAAGCGGACACGCATCAAGGGGATAGCAAACTACCCTCAGTCACAGAAAAATGTACTTTTCTCTTTTCCAGCATATCTCAAAGTCTGACTCGCATCTTTCTCCCCCGTTTCCCGGAGTCTCGGCTGAGGGTCGATGATGTAACTAAGGGTAGCAAAGAACACCTCTGCTGTAAACATATTTTCTATTTGTATTCTATTTCGATCGAGAAGCCGAGCCACGAACTTCCATTTGGCTTTGAATTTCTCTCTCTCTCCCTCTCTCACCCTCCTCCCGCTCGTACAGGAGGATCTGAGAAAGAGCCTCGGTAAAACGACGCCATCCAGCCCAACCCCTCCGCATTGTGTATATTTCGCGTTTACCTTCGTAATATTAAATATAAGGAAAAGATATTTCAATATTGGTTCGCAAACATAGTAATAGAGGGTGTACACGCGCGCCAGCCAGTCCGTATGACTGTTTGGCTGCCTGCACCGTATTTATCTCCATCCATATACCCTACCAAAGAATCCAAGAGTTGTATCCCGACGCGAGAAAATTTTTTTACTGGATGCTCTTAAGGAGATACCCGGATGACTTCAACACCCCCGTAAAAAAAAGCAAAAAAAAAAAACGAATGAGAAAATTTTACAAATTTCTCAGAACCTTCCCTCCCCATACACAATTTGTCCTTAGCTTGCCTCGATGCCACCCTTGCGTCTTAAATCGTGCCCCAAAAGCCCTCC